CAGAACCGGCAGTGGTTTCTACGGCTGAAACAGCAGTGGTTTCTACGACAGAACCGGTGGTGGTTTCTACGGCTGAAGCAGTAGTAGTTTCTACGGCTGAATCGGCAGTAGTTTTGACTGCTGAAGCGGCGGTGGTTTCAGCGGCTGAACCGGCAGTAGTTTCTACCGCTGGAGCGGCAGTAGTTTCGGCGTCTGAACCGGCAGTAGTTTCTTCTGCTATAGCGGCCGTAGTTTCGGCAGCTGAACCGGCAGTGGTTTCCACGGCTGAAGCGACAGTAGTTTCTGCGGCTGAAGCGGTCGTAGTTTCGGCAGCTGAACCGGCAGTGGTTTCTACAGCAGAAGCGGCCGTAGTTTCTGCCGCTTTAGCGGCAGTTGTTTCGACAGCTACACCATCAGTACCAGTTTGTCTTACATCAGTTAAACGGGATCTGCGCAAATCTGAATGAGAATGATATATTTCAGATATGCAGTACATTATGCTCTGATTTAAAAGCAGAGCGTGCGTGCATTACCATGATTTCAAAGCTTGGAAACACTGCCATTACAAACATGCAGGTTTCAGTAGCATTAGTAGGTTGTACTGGAAACGTGGAGGTGTGCCGATATTGAAGGTAGGTTTCCAGTAAACTCTTACATCCAAACTGAGATAAAGATAATACATGTATCAACATTAGGAAGGACCAGATTAGCTACTCTAGATCTGTAATGACATTTACTTTGACAGACCATATCATAAGCCGTAGAACGGGGTTTTTTATGAGTACTAATTCACGAATTAAATCATATTTATATGGATACTCACGAAGTGGGATCGAAGCTGCGTCACATGACAGGACAGCAATAGCAGCTATGAGACAAATATTTGCCAGGGCAATCATCGTCGACTTCTTCTGCAGGCGAGAGAGGGAAACATATAAGCTATAAATTAATCTTACAGCCAAAAGAAATCAATTGCATTGATTTCAGATTTTCGTAATAATCCCTCAAATAAGTATAATAAGGATAATTGGCAATATAAATGGATTTGAAGTTTTCCAGACAGCTTTCGAATTCGATTGCCCCTTTGCAAAAGGTTTTGTATCCTTTAATTTTTTAACTGTTATTAAAATCTACCTACATTTGATCCATTCTCAAGTACACAGATACACTTAAATTTGTTTCTACTGTTTCAAAAAATAATAACTTTTAGAGGAAATTATTTGCAATTTTAGAAAAAATATTGCCTCTAAAAATCATTTTTTTAGATAAATTAATTATTTTATCTTGATATCATTTGCGCTAGAAAGCACACCATCAAATTCCTTTGCAAGAAAGGTGTTCCGCACGTTGTATACAACGGGACAGTACATACAGTGTGTTTTTTAGTAAGATTGTTGAGCCTTTAACATCACTGTGAAGATTAATCATCCAATCTTATTTCACAGAAATTAAGGTCCTTATTATATTTATTCTGTTTAGTCTACATGTATCTGGCAACATGGCTCCTCCCTCTCGGGCACTTCTGCAAACCGTGTAGCTTGAGCAATTACAATTTGAACTTATATATTTCACTGTGTGTGTGTTCT